GTGTGTGTGTGTGTGTGTGTGTGTGTGTGTGTGTGTGTGTGTGTGTGCGCCAGCAGGAAGAATAAATGCCAATTGTAGTTAGTATAAAAACCACCATTTGAAAAAATATGACCTCACCTGAAATGGCTTTTAAAGTTGTTTAACCCTTTGAGTTATGCTAGTTGGCCCATTTACAAAGTAACAGATGAATCAAAGTGTCAAGGTAAAATCAAGTTGACGATTGTTTCCATGAACCGATACAAATCATGTATGTGTTCATTCATTCATGGGTTTTTCGACAAATCTGATTATAAAAACATATGGTGCGAGAGGCTAAATGAAACAGGAGTTAATGAGCAACTGTGTAGGCCAGTGTGGTGAGTCATGCTGTGGAAAAAGCATTCAATCCAAACTATCTGTCTTCACCAACCACAATCCTGGAGATCTGCACTGCTCTCCCAACATGTCTGCAAGTGTTTTTTCATCCTTTTTTAAATTTCCTTTTCCTGTTTCTTTCATTGCCTTCCTTTCCTAATTTCCTTTTCAAAACTTTATTCCCCTGTCTCACTTTCTTTCTTTCTTTCTTTTTTTCGTCATTTCTGTCCCTCTTCATTCTGACTTTCTGGGATTTCCTACTGCCATACTTTGTCTCTCTGTGTCATGTCCTTTCTTAATCAGTCATTTTCCTTCTCTGTGTGTCTCTCACTGACTCGGGAGATGAGTGCCATTCTTACAAGTAATACACAGGCTTTGTTCTAGCTTTCATGTAGTTTCAGCTTCATGTTGTTTTACTTGATCAGGGCCACTATTGGTTGTTCTTATCCTTGTCCTTATCCTTCTTCTTGCTCAAAACCAGTATTGTATTTTTTGTCAGCAGAAAATAGCCACAACGTCTCAAAACAGCGACTCTTACCACTCTGCCACGAGAAAGTCACCATTGGTCTGGTGGTGTGGTGTAACTTTCCCTCTGTGCTGTGTGTTTGTGTTTGTCCCTGATGTGTCCATCTCAGTGAGAGCTGCAGAATCATTAAAAAACAGCTGATGTGTCTGGATGACTTTGGCTGTGCCTCAGCATGTCCTCTGACGGAGAGCTGTTGTCCTCAGCACAGACTGAACACAGGCCACTGAAAGGACAAACATCAGTCGACTGTCCAAACTGACTCAACATCAGCTTTCGAGACACTTTCAATTTTAAAAACACTTGATTCAATAGACACTGATACAACTTTTGTAATAGAGATGGAAACCCCCTTTTTTTAATATAAACAAACAGATTTGTTTTTGTTTTTGCATTTGAAGCGAAAAAAAAAGAGAAAAAGTAGAATAATTTCACTTCATTCTGTCATGAAACAGTCCTGGATTATTCGAGCAGATACATAAAAGTAGAGTTCGGTAACATTTGTACTATTATTATAGTAATATGTATATTCTGTATTTGTAAATCAAAGATAGAGCTCCAGTGAGATGATAACATGGCTGTACCCCCACCAGCTCAAAGCTCACACACGTTGACAAAACACACGGCATCAAAAACGAAATAATTGAGTCGTGTGAAGCAGCCAGTAGCAGTATTCTGCTGACAATGATTTCATGAAGGACAAAGAAAAATCCCAGCAGGGCAGCGCTATTCCCTGAGAGCGGCAGTGCAGCCAGAACTGCATCCAGAACCAGTTAGATTCTGTAACCTTGACCCAGTTTCCAGGCAGTCAGTAGCTGTACGCGGTGGCCCGTCATACTAATGGAGATCTTATTATAGAGATCGAGGCGAGACATTAGTGGGGAGGGGAAGTGAGAGAGGTGTTGATGTGGAAGAAAATGGAAACAGGAGAGAAGAGATGAGGAAGAGCGATAACACTTACACCGGTAGCGAGTTTGAAAGGGTGAGAGGGGAGACGGAAGAGACTGAGGGGGGGGGGGTGATAGAGAAAGAGGTACCGCATCTTTTGGGAGCTTGAGGATGTGTTTAGACATCACTGAAGCATCCACACACACACACCATGACAAATATCACACACAGCTGAGAGTGTGCAACAACAACCAAAATCTACCTTTATATGTGTTGATTAGGGCGGCAACTAACTATTGTTTTTATTGATTCATTATTCATTATTGTAGCTGGTGTGGGTTAGACACTTTAATAGATATTATCAGTCATCCACAGAAATTAGATCTGTGCAGATATTTGGAATTGAGCATGAAGTCTCACAGCCTGAGCATTTGACGGCTGAGTGAATGTCTTCACACACACACACACATACCAGTCTGTGTTTGTTTATTTGTGTATTTATTTAGACCCCCATTAGCTTTTGCATCCCAACAGCTATTCTTCATGGCGTTAGCTCAGTTTGCATGGTGACAATACAGAAATACATAAAACACAGTGTTTTGTATGTTTAGTGAAAGCGGGATCCGTCCACATTATATTCAGTATGTATCCGAAAGAGACAATAAACTAGCCTTCAGTGCCCAACCCCCAAAGCCATACACACATTACTCAGGCCGTCCTTTCCTAATGGACACCGGGCTAGTAAATCACGCCAGCCCACTCCCATTTACTGGCTCTTCATTTAATTAATTCACAGCACATCTAAATTACCATCTGTGGATCCAAAAGGGAGAAATGAAATTCACCAGCTTTGGGCTTTCGCCAGCATTCTTTACCAGGAGGTTTGTAGCAGCAGACGTGCTGAGGTTGCCCCGAGGAAGGCAATTAACACACTTACTCTAATTCATAAGCTGCCTCTTCAACGTGGCTTTAAGTCTGTGGTTCATCTACAGTCTGACTGTTAGATATCAGCAATGAATTGTACTGTATTTGTTCCACTGTGAGGTATCAGCTAAAACTGTATTACTAACTAAGTAAAAAATAGACCTTATGCTTGCTTGTCTGTTTGATTGATAGATACCGTATTATTGCCGCTGAGTCATTAGTTGACAGAGTGATTTGCAGCAGAGTGTTGCACTAGGATAAACTTGACGTTCAAGTAATTATGTTTTCAGTGTGATAATATCCTCTGATGTTTTTAACTTGATGCGATGTTATTGTTTGGACACACTAATTTTAGCATGAAAGATCATTGTTCTTTAGATTCATTTTTTTACTTTTAGAAAGGTTTCTCTGAGGGCAACTGAGGGCAGCCTGATAAATCAAGGGAATGAGGACCTAGATCCTTTCATCAACCCTCCGGCCCAATGATTGTTGACATCTATGCCCAGAGAAAGCTCAGTGTGTGTCTAAGCCCGGTGTCTTGCTGAGTTGGATAACGTCATTTTTTATTTATGTGCATTTTTTCTTTCTTTTTTTATGCTTGCAAACCCTATGCATTGGTATTGCAATACACAGTTTGTGTTTGAATGTGTAGCACATGCAGGCTGGGCTGTTTGTGCCCGTCCATGTACAGTGGATTAGCGCCCTCCAACCCCCACCCCCCTTCCAACCCCGAGCTCTCTTCTGGTAATCGCCAATGAGGTTCCTGTTTTCATCCTGAGAGTGACACACTCTGACACTCAAATCTCCAGACAAGACAGATTTGGCAACACTGCAGACGTTGGCAGGGTTAGTAAAGCCAGTCAGTGAGGAGATAGGTGTAGTGGTGGAGCGGTGGCTGGTTGTTTGGGTTTCGTTGTGAGTGGGTGTGACTGCTGACTGGTGGTAAAATGCGATAACACACACACACACCTGGTGTGTCAGTAGTAGTCAGACGGGCAGATGGGAAGGGAGAAGTCAGGGAGGGCTTTTTGCTACAAATCTTGGCGGACGATAGGAGATCTTTGTCTCTCCTGCTTCTCCTTTTTTTTCTTTCTGGCTCTGTCTTCTTCTGTTCATCTTGAGGAAGGCTTTTACATGCTGAACACACCTAAAGGTAACCTGCACTTTGGTATTCACCTAGCTATTTGTTAGTAATTTGATGCTGAAGTGTTATTTAACCTAAGTTAGTTATGAGAGCTGTAAAAAAAAATGGCAAAAGTGATATACTGTACATAGAAAAAGACGATAGAAAAGATTAAAATCATTAATTGACTGATCGATGAAAAACGTTCTGTTGTAAGCAAATGTTTAATTTGCACGTAAAGATAAGAATTCATTCATTTTCTTTGCTTTATTTTAATTGCTTTGGTAACCATGTGCGCTAGAGCTCCTCACAACTACATTTTGTCATATCTACACACCGTTTCACACGTTTGCAGCTCTAATTTCTTGCATGTGATCAAACAAAAAAAGAGTCCAAAAAACCTGCTAAAATGCTGCAGTAACACCCAAGGGAGACCACTGCTTCTGGTGTTAATTGCCTCGGCCCCTCCTGGTGTGCTTTGGAGCTGTACTTGAGGGGCTTGGGGGGGGTGCATGAATGATGTGTGTGTGCTTGGGAGAGTGAAATGTTGCTGATGAGGTAAATCAGGTACCTTTAGAGCTGAGCCATGCAGCACTGTCTTTGTCTGGAGACCGTGGACTGAGGGTAGGGAGGGGGCGGGATTCCTCAAGGTCGCCCCCCTGCTTGCATATTGTGTGCATATGTGCATGTGTGAGTGCCGGCATGTTTCTAGCCATAAACGCCCAGTTTGGCACGATAATTGATGAAATAGTGATTCTTGAAAGATGTGACTGCGGTAAAGAAATCTTCCTGAACCGGATTCAGTTTACTTCAGGAAATTTGACTTATTCTTTGCTTTGTTTCAAGACGATGACTTTTTGTTTATTTTGTTTTTATTTCACTCATGATGGCACAACTCTTGGCTTATTAAAAATGCAGTGTTTTGACTGAAAATGCGACTCACTGGATTTTCTACACTGACGATGAGGCAGACAAAAGAATCAGTGTGACCCATGTGGTGTTTTTGAGTATTGTCAGTTAAAGGCAAAATATTTTTGTTATATAGTGCACCTCTAGTGTAATGATCAGTCATAGTCCACACATTCCCTCTGTTATAAGAGGGGAAAATATTGGGGTTTGGGCAAATGTTGTACACTTTTTGCAGCGCAGTGTCCTCAAGCAGTTTGACCTCCCACTGCACGTTGACCTGATTCAGGACACGGACACGACCAGACACAGCAGTGTCAAAAATCCCTCCAACATTTCTTCCCCGACCCAATTCAGGTCAGCTGCTGGATTGCATGCTGGTGATTGAGAACAGAAATAAATAGCTGACCTCTGTTTCACAAAATTAGGTTAATGCCTTAATCACTCCTCTCCACTAGCCACAGGTACTGTTGACATTATTAGCTAAGTGGAAGATTAGCTTATCTAGCATGTGAGAAGCCATGATGTTGGTTACATTGTCTTAGCCTGCATAAACTCTTACAGTGTGAGACGTCAGACTCCTAATACGTCAGGAAATCCATTTCTTTATTTTACATAAATGGCACAGATTTTTTGAAAATCCGTTGCTGAAAAGGTCGATGAAAATAGATCCCTTGTAAATTACTCTACTGTAGGTTGAACTCTATAACCATATAACCTTAAGAGGATACTCTGAAATAGAGCAAGATTGGTCAATTGTTTTTATGCCGACTGAGAGATATTAATACTCATCAACTCAGGTTCTCTATCGGGGTTAACAGAGACATCTGCTGGACAAATAGGTGCAATGCAATTGTTTTTGTTGGTGGTTTGGTGGAGTTGGTGTATTGAATTTGTTCACTGTAACAGAAGTTGTACTGAGTGATTATATATTACCCAATCTCGTGATTTTAATCTTAGTCTTGTTTGAATATTTTCCCAGAATAACTACTTCGTGTTCATGGCAGAGCTGTTTGGGTGGTTTGAGGTGGTCAAGCCGTCTTTTGTGAAACCCAGAATGCTGAACGACGAAGGCACAGGTAAGTCTTGATTTCTGACGACACGAAAACTTTCATAGTAGCAATAGCAACTGTAATGCCACGTGTAGAAAGAGGTAGTGGTAATGCTAGAGGTAATGTTGGTCGAAGAGGACCGAGCACAGTTTGGTCAGTTGTCTCTGTTGTGTCACCTCAGAGCCCTCATCCTTGTTGAAGACTATACCAGCTATCCCCATCTCCAAGGCCACCAAGAGGAGCTTCATGGAAAGGCCCCCAAGTCCAGAAAGACCGAGGTATGCTAGTCCAAAAAATGATGGTATTCGTTGTAAAACTCTGGCTAGTAGTTTGGGCCGGCTGGTGGGCAGCTGGCAGATGTGAATATGATTAAGCCAAATAAGATTGACTTGTACTGCGAAATTTTTATCTGGACAAATGACAGCTAAAAACACGTAACACATCTGTCAATTTCTCTTTTTTTCTCTAGTTTGCCCCTCCGTCCCCAGCCTCGAAACTCAGGTAATATTTGTTTACTTATTTTTAGGGGTTCTTTTTATACCAAATTGTATGAGTAGGTATGAATATTAGAATATGAATACTCAGTTTTGATTCTTACTTTGCTAATTTGTGTCATCCAGGAGAGATTAAGAGGTCAACCTCAATGTCCTTTGTCGATGGCAACCTCGGCACCTGGCCCAAAGAAAAGAGGTTAGTAACATTGCTGTCCTGTTTATGTGCTGCTCCTTTAAATGATCCAATCCCCAAGCGTATTGTGATGTTGCCAAACCAGAGTCTTTCCTTTTACAAATAGAAATACAAAAAAGTATCTGAAGATTGAATTACTTTTTTACTTTTCCGTTAAGGTCTGGACCTTATGGAGTGTCTTTTGACATCCCCTTTGACAAAGAGGACTCTGGTTCCGCCGGGCTGTCCTCTACGCGTGGCATGGTCCGGTCCGTCAGCAGTGACGATGGTTCTGGTTTCAAGGTCCACCACTTGCCCCATGGAATGAAGCGTAACCTGTCCTTCCAGCCAGTGAACGGTCAGAATGTCGGCATTGAGGAGGAGGGCTGCCCAGACAGCCTGGCGGATGAGGAGCCTTGCAGGGGAGACCACCCCAACGGACATGGAAGTGTCAAGGCAACAACTCCCTCCATTGAGGAAGCCCTTCAGATTATCCAAAGCCCAAATAGGCCCCCAGCGGAGGGGATCAACAACAGTTTCTTTCTGCACACTCAGGAGCACAGGGCTGGTGTTGGTGTGTTGGAGCCAGTGTCAGAGTCGGACTCCAAAGGGCCTCTGAGCACCACAGACACCGCAGAGGTGGACACTGGCATCCATATCCGAACAGAAGACATGCTGGATGAGGATTCCTCTCTGAAGGACTGCTCTGTAAACATGGACCTGGATATAGACACGCCAAGCCCCTGCCCAAGCAGTCAGAGCAAATCCCCCTCCGGATTTAAGATGACAAGCTTTGCTGACCAGAAGAAGAAGAAGCATACTCCATCACTGCCAGACTCAGGTAGGTGCAGCAGCAGCTCCCTCAAGACCACTCCTGAGGGCTCTGAGTTAGGCCTCCCATTATCTGTCTCCTGGGCCCCGACCCCTGAGCACAGCCCCATCCATCAACAGACCACACCTCCCCTCACTGCTCAAGCATCGCCCACACCCGTGCAACTTCCAGCCAATGACCCTGCTCAGGTCATGGCTACGGAGATGGTTGAGCTGAGGATGAGGCTGGAGGAGAAACGTAAAGCCATCGAAGCACAGAAGAAGAAAGTGGAGGCTGCTTTTACAAGGCATCGGCAAAAGATGGGTCACTCGGTGTTCCTCAATGTGGTAAAGAGGAAAGGAGACGGGGCTGCCAGTGGAGAGGAAGGAGGGAAAACAAGTCCCACCTTCAGCTTCGGGAGGAGCAAGGCAGACACACCTGATGGGGCAGAGCAAAGTAGCACAGCCTCCTGTTGGACAAAGTCCCCTGGTGCAGGAGAGGAAGGGGGTCAAAGCCATGCTCAGCTAACAGAGGTAGATCTCACTGAGTATACGCATTCTATTGAGAAACTCAACCATTCACTAGCCTTCCTTCAGACTGAGATGCAGCGACTGGCTCAGCAGCAGGAAGTGATCATGGCCATGAGGGAGCAACAACATCAGCAAGCGTGGGTAATCCCATCACCACAAAAACAGAGTCGAGCTGTTACTAGATCCTCAGGACCATCTTCTCCTGCCGACTCCCCTCGTTCCACCCACCGCTCTCCAACCAGCATCAAGCGCAAATCTGCCTCCTTCCACTCACGCAATCCTCGCACCGTTCGACCCAACGAGCTAAAGCTGGCCCCGTACAATCGGGTCCTAACTGCCCCACAATCTGTCGACAGCATCCCCAGGCTACGGCGATTTTCTCCCTGCCAGCCCTTGGCTAGTTCTTTCGTTTACATGGGGGAGAAACCAGTAACCGCCAATCCAGAGACAGTAGCCTCAGATGGAGATAAAAAGGACACAGAGTCTCTCCTTTCCCCAGAGAGTGAGAATGCCAGTATATGTGTAGCCAACCTACCGCCCAGCTCCTCCAACCTAGAAAACACAGAACCAGATTCAGTTCAGAAGTCAGTTGCAGATCTGAAACCTATAGAGTCATCATTTCCTGAGGTTCTGGCCCACGCTGTGGTAGAGACCTTCACGGTGACACCTACAGAGATTCCTCCCAGACCAGAAGCCTCAGGCCAAGTCAAGAGTAGCTTGATTGAGGTTCCTCTGTCAGTGGTGAAGCCACTGGAGGATCTGACACTGGATGATGGTTTGGACATGCAGCAGGAGGATGTGGAAGGCCCGGATCACGAGCATAAGATGTCTCGTGGTTTCTTCTTCAAGGTAGGCCGGTAATTCAAAGAACTGTCACCAATGTCTATGTTTTGAAGCACTTTCTCTATTTGCACATTCAAGAGAGTTAAAGGGAAATGTACCAGTCAATGCTTCTTTAGAGAAGATGATATGTACTTTATATGTCCCCAACGGGACATTTTCTTTGGACTCTGCACTGGGGTGGAGTCAACAGATAAGAACAAAGAACAACCAATATAGATTATAAAAACCATAACATCAACAACAACCAGCTTGCAACCATGCAATGCCACTGCACGCCTTAAAATGTTAGTGTCGCTTTTCTGGGAAAAAAAGGCAGTTGCATTTGAACCAGAGGCAGCCATGTTTCGTTGCTAACACGAGATGATGAAATGTTCAGGAAACAAGTCAGCTGAAAAAAGCGCCATCTTCCCATGTATGGGTATGTAAGATAGCTTGCTAGCTGCAGTCTGGGCTTCGATGTAGGTCATAAAACTGGGGCTCTTGTGAATAATTCACGCACAGCTGTGGAAATGTGGGGCTGGAGAAGGGTTGAATAGATGGTGGATGTGATAGTGGATGCTGAGGGATGAGCAAAGGATGTTCACATCAAAGAAATCTTTAAGATGAAACCGATTTGTACTGAAATTAGCAGCTTTGTGTGCCTGTGTTGGAATCAAAACTGTCCCATAATATGAAGAATGTGGATACAAAATGAATACCTCTACTGTGGTTCCTCAGCCAGCCCGTTTACTGTCTCATATAATTACACTAAGGAGAGTTGACCTTTCACAATAACTGTGAAATGATTTAGATAATATCACACAATATTCTGTGTCACAACGATATCAGGTCAGCTTTGCTTAATGAGAAGCAATTACAAAACAGTAATGTATAATATTAACTAAAGGTTTCCGGATTTTCACCCTGCAAAGAACACACTGTACCTCAAACAGTTCAAAGTGACTGACTTTGTTTCCTTAATGACTCAGGCGGATGGAAAGCCAGAGGAGAACATGGCTCAGAAGAGGGCTGCACTGTTAGAGAAAAGGATGAGGAGGGAGAAGGAGAGCCAGCAGAGAAAGATGCAGCAGGAGGCCGAGTTGGAGCAGAAGAAGGAGGAAGCTCGGTATGTTCACACATCAGGAAATAAGTCCATTCACATTTTCAGAACACACATGTATATTAGGTATAAGCATGATTTTTAGTCTTTTCCATCTTTTCTATTTTCTTACTTCTTTGTTGTTTTGAATCTTGAACCATGTATATTAGATCACTCCACTACTGTCCAGAAAGTCTGACCGCAGTGCTGAATGTTTTCGTGTTGGTTGGTTTTTAAATGAAGATTTAAACTTACAATTTAGAACTTGATTTATTTATTTTTCCATCGCTTAATCACCATTATTGAATAAAAAAACTCAAACAGTATTTGTCTGCACTGACTGCTGACTGGCTGTTCAGAATGAAAGCAGAGGAGGAGCGCGTCAGGAAGGAGGAAGACAAGGCCAGGAGGGAGTTCATCAAGCAGGAATATCTCAGGAGGAAGCAGCTGAAACTGATGGCGGACATGGATACCGTCATCAAACCGCGACCAGTCGGGACCAAGCAGAGGCGGGGGCGTCCCAAGTCCATCCATCGCGACAGCATGGACTCCCCCAAAACCCCTGTCAGAGCTGCCACAGGTAACCCTGGAGAAGACCCCCACTCAGTGAGGTCGTGGTCATCCCATCTGTCCAATGGGTGTGCTGCTGCCGCTTTGCTTTGTGCCACTTGAGAATGTCTTAATCACATTTATTACATAACTCTTACATAATACATTCTTTTTGTTTTAAATAATAAAATTGGTTAAATCAAGTTAAGCTTTTAACTGGGTTAATTCTGATATTTCTATTATTATTGGCAATGTTTTGTATAACATCTAATGTCTACCAAGCCCAAAATAATACAGCAGAACTTAAAATTTGAGCTTGAATATGATGATGTACTGAAGGAGCAATGTAATGCTAGTGTGTGTTTTTATAGGTCAATTATATTAGGCATTTTATAGTGTGTTAATACATATGTATGCATGTATAATAGGGTGTGTCCGTGTGAATGTTGTGTGTATAACTGGATGTTAGAGTTCATTTTATTCATAACACTGAGGCTACATTGCTCTGTGACGGGGTTGGCACAAAACACAGTGGACCGCGTGGTGGTGGTGTTGTTGTTGTTGTTATTCATGGTGTCGTGCTGTGTCACATCTGGTCTCACATCCAGGTTCACGCCAACGTGTCTTTTCAGTCTCCAGCTTGTCCCTTGCTTCCCTCAACCTGGGAGACAGCGACAGTGTTCACTCTGAGAAGAGATCACCGAGGTGAGATGTTTTCTATAGCTGCTGGTGTAACATGTGGCGTTTTATAAAAAGGGTGGTGTTTTGATGTAGCCTTTTGATTTTAATTCAAGATTTCACAAGATGTCATATTTTTGAATGCATAACTGATTCACTCAGGAATATAGAAGTGGAATGTGTAGATAGTAGATAGTCACAAAATCTGAAAACCTTGGAATCTTAAAACAAACAAAATACATAAAACACAGACATGGTACTCTGCAATAATATTAGTAATAATTCATAATTTTAACCTGGTTCACTTGTTTTAAGGATTACAGTTACTAAGCCACTAAGCATCAAATCCATGCATAATATATAGAGTGATTTCTTTGGCATATTAAACTATTATTTTCTATGACTTTATAATTACATTTTATGACATTTTATGGCATATTATACTTTTAATATTTGATTTGAGACCTGAAAAATTCTTAGAAATGTTTACTTTGGTGTGAATTTGAAATTTCTCTTCATGTGCATGGTAATATTTTCTTGTTTTGTTTTTTTTAAGCCAAGTTCTCCAGACTAACTCCAGTTCTTAGGTCTAACATGTCTCCTGTATTCTTCTACCTTCCTTCTTTCGATACTTTCTTTCCTGCTGTTTCACAAACGTCAGAAGTGCTAGTTTAGCCTCTGGTGGTCTCTTCTTCTTTCTGAGATCTCCTAAACTGAGAAGGAGAAGGTTAGTTTCTGCTCGGCAGTTAAACCTTAAGTCTCTTCACGCTGCCCTGAGCCCAGTCCTGCACTGAAAGCTTGTCTCCACGCTGAGATTTTTAGGGATTGATCATAAACTTAAAGGAATAGTAACATATTTCCTTATGATTAACTTCAAAGCGCTTGTCTCCACCACTAAACAATCACTTGTCCCTTTCCACTTGCCTTCCCGCTGTGCCTTATTCACACCTGATAAAACATCAAAGTGAATTGTTTAGTTTTGCTCAGTCATTACGAGTCATTAAGACTCCACTTTATCAAGTCATTTAAGCCTATATTGTGTCTTAAAATTTGCTAGTAGGATTGAAAAATGTGAAAATTTAGACTTTTATATCCCATTGGAAGATGATCAGGCCTTTTGAGAAATCAAGGCTAAAATGACTTGTTAATGTGGGCAGTTTGACTTCAAGCATTATGACCCCAGTGGAATAAGCTGTATTCACTTGGAAATCACTTGTTCACGTATATATAGGGGACAAATAATGCAGTTGCAGTTCAGAAAAAAAGAGCAAGTAAATGCCTAGTGCTGCACTATAATTAATTGACCTATTTTGTTGACCTTGAATGCACCAGACTGCTTCATATCACTGCACTCACTGCCTGCGCTTGCAAGCTTTGCTTCTTTACTAGTTACTGTACAACAGACACCAAAACCAAGTCCAAACTCAAACTCTGTGCTGGTATAGTACACGCAGTTTCCTCTACAGTAAAGAAAGAATCTATACGTGATGTAGACGGGGCGGGGAATGGACACCAGCCACCAGCCTAATATCTAGTTGGCTTGTGTAATTGTACAGTAGTTTCCTGCCCTGTCTACAGTATACTTTGCTGAGTGTTCAGCAGCCATGCAGAAAGGTAACCTAACACTGTGTGTGTGTGTGTGTGTGTGTGTGTGTGTGTGTGTGTGTGTGTGTTTGTGGGCGGGGTTCTAGACCAGATTCTGCAGATGGATTTCTGTCCCCGAGTCTATCTAGCAGCAGGAATGGAGAGAAGGATTGGGAAAATGGCTCCACAACCTCCTCTGTTACATCTAACACGGAGTACACTGGTAGGACAACTTCAGACATATCTTCTTTAGCATTGGTTGTCAATGCAAATGTTAAAACTAGATGCTGAACTTAAACTACAGTTTAAGTTTAGCATCAATAGTTTGGGGAATAAATATAATTTGAAGGCATAAATGGTGCAATGAACTAATGTTGTGGAATGACGTCCTAAACAGTTGTAAATTTCTGAATCTTGTGTAATCTTCGTATCCAGTGCAGCTAATATTAATACAAAAAGTGCATGAATATTTTTGTTGATGTGAAATGTAAATCAAACATATCAGCTGTCTGAGCTTTTTTTTTTTTTTATCTAACTGCTGCATTCATAGCTCAAATTTTCTTCTCGGTGCATCCACTAACACGTTGCTATGTTACCAGCAGCAATCTTCATACATGATTTATCAAACGAAAGAGTAAAAATAGGGAGGGACGTCTTTTCTTTGACATAACAGGAGTAGTTGCCGTGGCAACAGTCCCATCCTGATGTTCTCTCCTCTTTTCCCGTTCAGGACCAAAGCTATACAAGGAGCCCAGTGCCAAATCCAACAAGCACATCATCCAAAACGCTCTGGCCCACTGCTGCCTCGCAGGCAAGGTTAATGAGGGGCCAAAGAACAAGATCCTGGAGGTAACGGCAGGGGGCTTTTAATATATCGCTCTATACACTTGCAGGGGTCGGGGTGTCCCGGTGGCTGTATTTATTATGAACGCCACGTACCTTTAACATTATGGATTGTCATGTATTGTAATTGCAGAAGGGAAGGGCAGAAACAACATTTTTGCATTAAAGTCAGTCTGAATCAAAGGGCAGACACACTTTTAAATTGCTAAATTTATGCTAGTGAGAGTCCAAAGAAACCAAAACCTTTGCCTTCCTTTAGCATTCATGACCTTCATACTGTATCTAATGAGCCTTCCTTCCCTGACATTAACAGGAAATGGAAAAATCAGAGGCCAACAACTTCTTGGTTTTGTTCCGCGACTCCGGCTGCCAGTTCCGCTCTCTCTACACTTACTGCCCCGAGATGGAGGAGATCAACAAGCTGACGGGCATCGGCCCCAAGAGCATCACGCGCAAGATGATCGACGGCCTCTACAAGTACAACTCGGACAAGAAGCAGTTCAGTCAGATACCAGCCAAGACCATGTCGGCCAGCGTGGACGCGGTGACGATCCACAGCCATCTCTGGCAAACCAAGAAGCCAGCCACCCCTAAAAAAGTAGTGCCTGCCCAGTCCTAATGGAACTTAACACCCCAAACATCACCATTCCCACCCCTCAAATGGAACATACCCATTTCAATTTGCACTTCACTGTACATATCCATGAAGATTCAAGCACCTGCAATGCCAGTTAGATGAATGCATCTTTGACTAGTCATGTTTGTTTGTTTGTTTTTTCCTCTAAATGCATTCCTGTCCCTTGTTTTTCCTCCTTAATGTGGACTGGAGACAATAGGACTCAATGATTATGAACTCCTGGAATGTATGCCACTGATGAAGAATGATGTAAATGCCTCCCACTTCTGTGTTTTTAGAGATTGTCATGTCAAATAATGAAGGCATGTATGAGTGTTTGTTTATTGTCTCATATGTGCCAAACGTCTAAAAAGAGACAGTGTGAATGCTCGGACATTTTACTGAAACACTGAATATTTTTAATTCATGTACAGATTGATCTTTGTTAGCATTATGCTGTTGATGTGTGGCCTTATGCATGTTTTGTTTTAGCGTGTGAGTGCAATGGGGTGATTGTAAAACAGCATATACAGAGGCTTTTTTTTTGTAATTGGAGAACGCTTTTTTTTTTCTTCATCTCTGGGTAAAACAGTTTGTATATTAATGTATGTAAAACTACAAAGGGCCAAAAAACATATTGCATACAGCTAGCACTAGCCACGCAGTACATGTGTGCTCAGCTTAACAAAGCCAAGCGGTTTCAGCTTTTTCAGAAGCCTTTTTGAGGAAGTCATTTTAAAGAATGCAGGACGTTACTGTAGATCACTGGTTCTCAACCTGTGGGTCGGGACACCTGCAGACGATTTAATCTATAATGTATGATGTGTGACAAATATATTTCTAATATACAAATATGCTGTCATGTTTGTGATTGTTTTGTTAAAAGCCCCTCTCCTCATGAAAAACAGAAGTAGTTGCAACCTCAAGACGTAAAATTGACGACCAGTGAAAATAAAAATCATCCTTATAAGTTAACCATCTGGTTTGTTTTCACTTGGGGGTTTACAAGGAGGCATCGCTTCACCCAAAAAGGTTGAGAACCAGTGTTATAGATCACGCTGCTGCTGGCTCACAGCTAATTTGTGAACAAATAAAAGTACTTTTTTTATTTGAATTGTTAAACAATGCCTGCACCATGCATTGTCTTCACAGATAGTTAATATAATGTATGATTACACTCTCACCAACTGGTATCAGTAATATGACTCAATTCCAAGACATAGACACATAAGAAGTATTCTCTTTATATCAATATCAGGATTTTAACATTACATTTTTGTACTAGTACTTTCTTGGCAGTATTAAATTCTTCAGATTCTTACTGGATTTACTTACCTTAAAAAAGTATGCACTGAAAAGCATCCACCAAACACCAAAATGTCATAAATACAAAGTTTAGATTGATAAGTTAAAAACCAATTGCTCTGTTATTTAAGAAAAAAACAGTCATACATCACAGCAAGTGTTCTGATTCAGTGAAGGCCACACTGTTTCCATGGTGTCATTTTCAACACATCTGTGCAGCTCTTGCTCTTGCATAACAAATCTGCGTTGACCCAAACTAAGTTAAGTTAAATTAAGTGCAGAGCGTTAGCAGCATGTTTGTCTGTTGCCTATAGATGCAACATATCCTAAACAGGCCAGTTGTTAGATTTATTTTTTTGTTTCTATTATTACGAGAATGACTTTCACAACATAATGCCAGAATAAGGAAGATCCTTGTTGCTGCATACGGGTAGAAACTCACCACAGAGTTTCATTGGTGTCAGTATCATGTTCCTTTTGCCACCGAATGTCAAATCAACACCATTTGCAGGTACGATTTCCAACAAAAATAAATCTGCTAACATGGTGCATTGTTTCCAACTGGGGGATATTTATGACCAAAAGAGAGCACGTTCATGTTTTTGTAAATGTAATCTAGTGTGACGGAGTGTTTCTCTCTTGCTTATTGGAATGATTTGTCCACAGAAGCTCTGTCCACCTGCTTATGTCTGTTAAAGGCCAAGGTAAAAGGTTATTTTAACTGTAATAATATTGTACAGTGTGTTCATGTGAGCTCATATTCACTAAGATGACTTTGTTTTGTTTGTCATTCAACATATTGCTGAAACATGTCATTTTTTTTTTTGGCATTTAATAAAACTAAGCATGGCCTCAGTATTTATGTTATATTTTTTCAAAAACAAAAAGTCTATTGTAAAGAAGAATCACAACAGGCAAAGTGAAAGAAAAATCAGGGGGGCTGATAATATTTGTATATGGTTTCATTTTTGGATCGATTGATAGAGATTAAGGAGGTGTAAAGACCACTTGGAAATATTCATCTTATTTTTTTTACAGTTTTATACATTTTGGAGAAACAATATATCATAGCTTTTGTGAGAGGCAGCAGTATCGCATGTCTTTAAGCTCAGTCTTATACTCCTTGAGCTGGAGAAAATTGTGAGACAGCAAACACTTCATTTTGAGAATCAATTTCTAAGAATAATCAGGGTAATAATATTGTTTACAAGCTTACAATAAATAATTATGATGTATCACCCACATGCAAATTGAAAAAATGACTACATCTTGAGAAAAGAGTGGGCCTTGGAGGACACCTCAGCGGAGATGAAGTTACCTAATGTGGATGTAAAAGCCCCAAAAGCCCCAGGTTCACTGTATATCAATTGTTTGTGCTAAATGTTATTATTGTAGAACTGTTTAGGAGCTGTTACTACAAGCATACAACATCAACTCCTGCATTATTACTTAATTGTGTGGCTTGGTCTTGCATGTTGGCTCTTTTTCAATACTGACACGAAGAAAACCTGCTTTCTAGCACAGGAGTGCTGTTTGACTTCTGGGGGTCTGTGCAAATAATGAGGCCTCCATGTTAAGTATGATGTGAACTGTACTTGATTGGAACTTGGGGGAATTATGGTACATGCAAAACCAGGGGGTGCAACCCCAACAGATTAATAAGCCATTGCTGCACTAGTAGAATTTATAGTTGGTTAGTTAGGAATTTAACTGTCCACATTGAGGACAATAAAGTGTTACCCCACAGCATTAAAAACAATTGACAAGACAATTGATGAATACAAGAACAAGATCTAAAATAAGTTAAAAAAAAAAACATACAATGGTAAAGTGCTGGTTGATCATGAGGAATACATGCATTCAGCATAATTGCATTTGACACAAAATGTATTTTACTGATTGATTTATGACATTTGATGCTATTAATTCAGACATGTTAGAGTGATTCATAGTTTACAGTCCATTGAGACATCAATTATAGACTATGCGCTTATGACGTTTATGCTTAATGCTATATAGCTTGATGGTATTTACCAAATCCACTTAGTGATGTAGCTATAGTTAAATAAATAAAAGAGAAAAGAGAGCACATTATTTATTATTTCGTTTTTGTTAATTTTTTTAAAATATTAAGTTACGTTTTTAACCACAGCTATAATTTTGCTATAGCATTAACCACCTTATTATTTCCACACTCAATGAATAGAAAGTGTTTTCTATGGCTCGGTGTTGAAGGTGTGACCCCCACACTGCCGGCCGTCATCACAACAGTTGATGGGTGGTTTGCGGCCGCGTCCGCGTGGCAACCGCGAGCTGTGTACAA